AACTAAAGAATATCATGACACACTACTTTCATTCATCTATGCTGAAAACAACTGACTTTTGTTATATCTTAATTTATATCTTTTAAGACATATAGTAATTACATAATACCAATTTTTCATTTATCAAAATATTTATTACAAAATTTTTAAATTATTTTTAAGAAAAACTGACCCAGACGACTTGCGAGGGCTAGAAACGTAAAAAAAATTCGCATTTTTTGTTTGTTCACAAGGAGTTGGTTGTAATTTCAATAGTCTTTTAAGTTACTTTTGCATTTGATTCAAGTTTGGGTTTACTTTTGCATTTCAAATCAAGTTTTGAGTCATATTTGGTAATTTTCCCTAAAAATTATGAATCTATTTTAATAGAATAGATAGAGTAGATGTTGATTATTTATCAAGAGACATTCTAAATTTTTGGTCTTTCATTTTTCTAAAGAACTTATAAGTACTTTGAGAAAAAAAAAGTAAACTTAATAACTTATTTTAAATATATCCTGTCGCCTTATAGTTATATGGTTTCAACTTCCAACATTAAAATAAAAACTTTTATCTGTTACAAGAAAAACACTACTTGACTAACGTGACAAACCTAGCTTCAAAACCCATGACCTAAATTTTTATGAAACAAGAAAATACAAGTTGAAGAGTTCAGATGACGCAGCTAGTTTGTCATTGCACTTAATCATCTGCTCCTCATTCAAATCCAGACTCGAAACACAATGCGTTCTCCAGTTCAAGTTCAGCAAAACAATCACACTCACATACAATTATACAAAGATGTTGTCTATCAGTAAAAGAAAAATCAAACATATACGTAAATATGTAACATTTTATTAAAAACACACGTGGTTATCAGCTTACGCCTCACCACAATTGTTGTAACACATTACACAATTTACAAACAACAACACACAATCTAAATAAATTTGTAATAATATCACTTTTACTAAAAGTGTAAAAACCTTCACGTACGGTTTAAGAACATCTCTTTCTGAGCTCCAGCGGCAAAGCTCCAAACCTGTCCGAACGCTGGCCTCGCCGGCACTGCCCAAAACCCACCTCCAAAATCCTCGTCATCTCTCACGCGTTTTCCGAGTATAAACGGTGAAGAATGATCTAGAGATGAGGACATAGTGCATGTTGAGGTGGTGGAGAAGCTCGCCGGAGTCGTGCCGGTTCCCGTTTCGGCTATGATGGAAGGCTCAGCTTGACGTAGGAGCCACTCGATAGTGTGGCCGAGCTCTCTTGTTAGCTAGAAAACACGTGCTGCGCATATGATTGGCATACGTATCCTCCTCCCTCTTCCGTCTACTTTAGTGTTGTTTGATCCAAAAATGGTGTTTTTGCTGGTGTTTATTTGAATCATAACAATAAAAGATCTAATGATATAAAATTAGATCTTTGAGGCTTAGAAGATATAATCAAAGAAATCAAATGAGAAATAGAAAGAACATCCAAGATTTTATTGATTCAAAGATTGCATTACAAATGATTTGAATAGTAAAGTGAATCTAAGAATCTATAAAATCCTTGTAGAAAGTGTTCTTGATCTAAAAGAGTAGAGAAGATCTCCCTTAAATAAAGAGGATTGCCTCTTTATTTATAGGAGAATGAGGTTTAGGGTTTCCCATCTAAATGGGCCTAATTTATTGTCTAATGGGCCTTGAGGATGGTGTAAATCCACTCCCAACAGTAAGTCCCCCCAAGTTCGTAGAGAGAGACGAAGTCGATCTCTGTGAATTTTAGGAATAGGGTTTGTTAGACAATGAACTAGGCACATTCATACATGTGACGATTTAGGCGAATTTACTTTGAACTTGTGCCTAGGAAAAGGCGAGTTTGCTTTAAACTCGTGCTTAGTGAAAGACGAGTTTACTAAACTCATGCTGAGACAAAGGCGAGTTTACTGAGAACCCGCGCCTAGTAGAAGGGGAGTTTCTGTAAACTCATGCCTAGCCAAAGACGAGTCTTTGTAAACTCGTGTCTAACAATAAGCGAGTCACTCGCAAACTCGTGCCTAATAAAAAGCAAGTTCAAAGTAAACTCGTGTCTAATATACAAGTTTACCGAACTGTTGCCGACCCGAAGTCTCATGTCGAGATCGTTGTATGTCGAGCAAGTTGCTGGTTTGTATGTTCGTCAGGCTATGATGATGTCGAGAGACATGCTGGCTTGTGCTGCTTCTGATGAGCTTGTAGCTGAGAGTCATTCTTCGAAGCATGAGGTTATGATGGTGGCAACCATGTGTTGATTCTTTTTGGCTCAACGATCTAATCAACTCTGGTTCACAAAAAGCAAGAGTATAATCAGATCAAAACATAAACCAAAAGAAATAATCAAGTTATGAATAATTAATAAGCAAATGATTGAACACATTTTTAATGTTCGTATGTTGCACATGATGATATAATAATTGTCAACTTATTAATATCATAAGTCTACCAGTCAGCAAAGCAATAAAAGTAATGCGGTCAAAACGTGAAATATGTGTGCATCTCGTAATGTTTGACATGTATGTTCACCAATCAACTTTCACAACAAATTACAAAATCAACTTTTGCAACAAATTACAAGGCAAGACGGAGCTCATAATAAGGGGATGGAGATTCAGTGATTATTTAGCAATGTAACTTCTAATAATCATAGGCCATAATCATAAAATTCGGAAACTTATCTTTAGTGTGGAGAAGAATTGTTCGATGTTGTGGTTGTGTGTCTTGGAGAGCTTTCTCCAAAGCTCCTTTACTCTAAGATAAGATCTGAGCTCCGAGGATGCGCAATTCGGCCCGAAACTCTTCGTCTTCCGAGCAAACCAACCTCGCGAATCAAGGTTAACCGTCTCGGTTGGAGGAGAACCAGATCCGGTTTAGACCGAGCAATTTGTTCTCCCGACCACTTTATCCCAATTCGCCATGCCCGATCATCAACCATAGCGAACTGGGGGGGGACTGATTGTAGGGGACAGGATTGGATCCACCCCTCAAGGCCCATCGAACAACGAGGGAAAGCCCATTACTCGGTTCGCACGAGCGAGGAGGGTCTTGGGCGCAATACGACAAGAGAATCCGTGTGAGCTGACGTCAGCCGTCCGTACCGAGCAGTGAGAGGAGGCCCACCGAAGAAGCCTTTGAAGCACGGGAACGGCCCATTAGGTTTTCCGTACAACAGCCTATAAAAACGAGGAGATGGAGAACGGAAAGAGGATCCGAAAATAGAGACAGGAAGCGGCTACTAAACTAGGGTTTTCNCAATACGACAAGAGAATCCGTGTGAGCTGACGTCAGCCGTCCGTACCGAGCAGTGAGAGGAGGCCCACCGAAGAAGCCTTTGAAGCACGGGAACGGCCCATTAGGTTTTCCGTACAACAGCCTATAAAAACGAGGAGATGGAGAACGGAAAGAGGATCCGAAAATAGAGACAGGAAGCGGCTACTAAACTAGGGTTTTCACCTAAGTAGTTTTCTTAGATCTATCCGTACGACAACGAGGCTCCGAGCATCGTTGTCCCTCTTGTAATCATTGTTCCCCGATCAATAAAATCCTCCTTCGTTTTCTGTTTGCTTGTTCACATCTTCGAAATAACCCACCCGATTACTTACTCGTTTTCACCAAACTCGGTTCAAACAAGTGTGTCGATCTTTCGCTGGAGGTTTCTTTACAACGAGAGCTCCCTTTGGAGGTTGCTGTTGTTGTTGTCTCTGATGTTCGAGTATGTCTCCGTTGGTGTTATTAGACATATATAGTTCTTGGGTTGATTATTGGAAGGAGAAGGAAGAGAGAAAGGTGGAATAGCTTAGCAGTCTATGACTCACTGAAACACATTCAGAGGAGGAAGAGGAAGGGGAAGCTAATGATTGAGAGGCAGGAGCTGGTGTAGACATGAAGGAGGGTCACATGAGTGGTGTGGGTCCTTCTCACAGCTCATCTCCTCTGTTATTTTTTCTTGAAAAATATTACTACAACATTTTATTAAAAGAGATTCTCATAAGATTTTTTTTTTGTATAATATCATCAGTTAAAAATTTTGAAAATATATTATACTTTATATTTAGGTTTGAGTTTAGTGATTTGGATTGAGAATTTAGTATTTAGAGTATGAGTGGGATTCAGATTTAAATCAGAATAATTGAGTTGTTTTGTTAGATGAGTGACAGTTTAGAATGTTTATCATTATGGACTACTATTTAGATAAACTTATGAATTTTTATCATTATGGTCAACCGGGTCCTCAGTTGGTGCAGGATGTTATGTGCATAAGTTGATTCTAGATAAGAGGTGTTCTTGACCTAATAAATCTCTTACCAAAGCCAAAAAAACTTTTGATGTTAGGACGATTAATCTGGATAGTCATGTTGGCTAATGTGAATACAGATTCTATGGAAAGTAATCTTTTCGGTAAAAAGTTGTTTGCGTGTTGGAAATATTGCAAAGGAAGCAGAACAATCAGTGAGGTCATATTGATTGGTTAAGTAGTCTTGGCAGATACGCAAGATCATCATGTTATGTTGATTGTTTTCTTTTCTTTATACTATATCTTTCACGACAATAATTTATTAATGACCTACTAATGTTTTTCTTCAATTATTGTAGTATTTTAAACAGTAATTAAATCCTAACCAATCATTAACCTTTAATTATCTCAAACAAGCTTTTAAACTAAAAAATATAATCATTATTATCATCCTCATCCTCATGAACACCATCAACATCACGAGTATACTTGCCCCAGAATCTATGCTCTTTCCACACAAAATAATATGTTTATTGTTAATTTTGTAAACAAAAATCTCTTTGCCCTTTTGACTATTTCTGATGTTAATAAACCTTCATTATTTTGAGATGCATGATATGTAACATGCCATCTATGTTTACGTAAACAGTTGATATTTAGTTGGCTATTCTGTAATACTTTTTTTTTGTTCAAATTAATTTTTGTTCAAAAGCTAATCTGTAGTACTTAATGATGCTAATCATATAATCCAAAAACAAGGTTCCATGGAGACACAAAGAAGAAGGCATTGACTGATTAAAATAGGTAATAAAAGACAAAACGATACGTCCATTGTTCATTTGTCTCCATATAGAAAGAGTAGATCTTGTAGAGGATTAATCAATCTTAGCCGTTGGATCGTTTTGAAGATTAGGCTGAGTAAGCTGGAGATGGTAATTAATATCAATCTCGGAAAGACGAGCAGCGAGCTGATTAAAACTGTTTGGTTGTTGCTGATTATCATTATAGTACTGAAGTTGCTCTAGAAACTGTTGATACTCTCCTGGTTTGGTCTCTATCCCAGCTTGTTGAAACTCAGTCGCGGTTCGATGCTCATCAAGCTGNGAAGATTAGGCTGAGTAAGCTGGAGATGGTAATTAATATCAATCTCGGAAAGACGAGCAGCGAGCTGATTAAAACTGTTTGGTTGTTGCTGATTATCATTATAGTACTGAAGTTGCTCTAGAAACTGTTGATACTCTCCTGGTTTGGTCTCTATCCCAGCTTGTTGAAACTCAGTCGCGGTTCGATGCTCATCAAGCTGAAGTATAGCAACACCAGTATACATAGAAAAATGAATGTCATTCAATAGAAAATTCTGTAAACAAATTGGCATTTTCTAGCTAGTAATTAACCAAACTTACCCAACGGTACATATTGTTGTTATCTTCTTCTAGCATCCGCCTCTGATCATATGCATAAAACATTGTATTAATCATTTAACCCGCAAGCATAAATATCACTAATTAGTTTTTTTTTTTTAATGTGTGATTAGAGTGCGACCTTTCTGCTTAGATTCTCCAACTGTTGTTGCATCAACTCATTCTTCAATATAGTAACATTAGAGATAGCAAAGAGAGATTAAACCAAAATGTATCAAATATAGTTTTAAGAGAATATATTGATATAGGCATATTATATTACGTTACCTTACGCTCACGAACTTTAAGGACAGAATGTTCGAGCTGTTGCTCTAGTCCATCGAGCTCCTGTGGAGGAATGGAAGCTAAGTCATGGCCATGGTATGGACGCAGACGGAGTTCAAGCTTACATGTCTCTCTTCTTAGTACTTCTATCTCATGGAAGAATTCATCCTATATATATATACACACGAAAACTTCAGATCAAAACTATAGATTTTTGTGAAAATGCTAATAAATTTTTTTGTGAATTGGTAAAGCCAAATGAATATGTATGTGTATATACCCGGTTGTCATTAGGATCAGGAAGTTGCAATCCGTTGGTCTGCAAGTATCGGTCAATGAGCTGAGGCATCCTATTCAACATTGGTAAATATGAAATGTGATCAAATTAGTATCTTTAATCTCACAACGTCAAGACTTCAGTAATCATTGGAGGAACACAAGTATCATAACGAACTAGTCCTCAAGTTTATGATCTATAGATATCCTTTGCCAAACCAAAACAAAAGTATCTTTATTTTTTGACCATAAATATTGGTTACAAGCAAACAAAATTAAAATGTGTTTCTAATTTTGAGTGGAAAAAACCCTTAACATGTGAATAAATTAGTGTTTTCATATTGTAGCTAAGGGCTATCTATATGTGAATGAATTAGTCTTCTATATACATAAATATATTTGTTATAAATATTAGAAAATATACTACAACAGAAACTGAGATCTTTTCATGAAACAGGTTGAACAAGAAATGTCAAATCTCAGGTCTCTTTGTTGGGCAGGTGTAGAATATATATAATTTGACCTTAATAATCATATGTAATCATATATACTAATTAAAACTTCAAGAATAAATATATAGCATCAGAGAGATTATTAACTTCTGCGTCGAATTAAAATCTTAAAACATAGTCATGAATATCTGCTACTTCAGAAGCTAATGATGAACACTGTCTGTTCACAAGCACGAGGAGTATATCTCTCTCATATCAGCATTTAATTAGACCAATACAGTTGACTAAACTAAGTAAGAAAAGATCAATACATACATGTAGACATGTGTGTATAGATTTATGAAACCCTAATTTTAGAGAGAGAGATAGAGAAGAAGAAGCTAACGTGATGGGTTCGGTGCAGTACTGGTAGAGTTTTCCGGTGGTGGAGAAGATGATGAGACCGATGTGAGCATCACAGAGAACAGAGAGCTCATGAGTCTTCTTGATAACACTACTTCTTCTCTTGGAGAAGGTCACTTGCCTCGTTGTCTTATTCTCTATCTTCTTTATCTCTATCTTACCTCTTCCCATGTCTCTCCTCTTTCTCTTATTCCCATTTTCCTCTTCCTCCTGATTCAATTGTATATGTTATGAGTTGGTACATATGAAAAGATTAGATCAAGTAAAAAATCTCTAATTAACTACAAAAAACAAGAATCTAAAACCATAAAGTTAATTACAGGATTCATTTCAAAGATGGTTTTGAGGATCTGGAAGCTGAGATCAGTAGTATAGGAGGTTGGATGACACAAGGAAGAGAGAGTTTGAAGGTGAAGAATGTGGTTAATCACACTTTCTCTTTTCTCTATAATTATGTGTGTAGCGTGTCGTCACCATTTTCTAATATTATATCTCTTTATTCTCCTTGCTTGCATATATACATTAGTAAGTTGTATTAGCAAACTGAAGAGTGCCAATAATTATATATAATGGTTAAACTATTTTAACATCGACAATTTTTACTGAGTTGTGCGATAAACCATGGTCAGCAATATACTAGTGTCGTGCTATGCCTTAACTTGTACACATGACCTATATGTGTGTGTACTAATATTTTTAAGAAACTTTATATGTATTCATCTGTACAGTTAATTAACTAATTAAGATTTATACACAATGCTTCAAACTGCAAAATAAAATAAAAATTAAGCTATCTGAAATTAAAATAAGTAGTTTAACGATTTGTAATTTGACATGTAATGGTAGTTTTGGTAATTTCCTTCACAGACAAGTCCCTTTTATTAGTCAAATCTCTAACCACTAGTTTTTTTATCTGCAATGCATGACGCAATTTGTAAAGGATCCTAAAATGGAAACTTCATGAACAATTGTTAAAAAGAAAACAAAGTTATACAATGGGCAAAAGGCAAAAGAGAGTGAGTAGCCAAATGGGAAAGGACAAATTGTAACAATAATTGAAAGTGACTTCTTATTTTGTATTTTCTCACCCACCTCCTATAGACTTGACAAAGACTTCCTTATTCAGAATTTTAAGAGTTGTACAACTATATATATACACACACCATATAGTAAAACGTCAGCTACTTAATTAGATCAGACTGGTGATTAAATTAAACATCTGGTAATACGAATAAATAACTTAATCAATTTAGTGCCATGTTTGTAACAAATGTGCCAAATCGAATTTGAGAAAATCATTTTGCATCAAGCAACGAACGAATTTACATAGTGACAAAGTCGTCATAAAAATAGCGTAGATAATTTACATATTATGTTAGATACTTATTAGCAGTAGAAATTGGCTTGGTAGCTGTCGTCTAACATCAATCCGTTTGAATTCTAAAGTCTTTTCGTTTGAATTTTGTGTCATAGGATTTTTCAGAAAGCAAAGAGAGAGGGAACTTTTGTGTTCTGTCAGAGATTCACAGGAAACATGTTCTGGTTTCTAAATTAGGAAATTAATGATTATAGAGCAAGAGTTGGGTCCAAAGCGATTTTCGTCATTCCAACTGTCCCACTCTTCTGCATCCCATTCCTATATTGTATGGCTTGTCTACCTTATTATATACACATACGTACATATAACATAGATATAGTTATTGAGTCTTTTCTTTATATAGGTGACTTCCATTGATGAGTTCATTATAAATTTCTCACAACCACTCAAATACAAAATGCTAATTAAATATCATTGGACATCTCAAATTTTTAGAACTTCAGCTCATTAATTCTTAAATAAGAAGTAACATAGAATGTGCTCTTAGAACATCTCCAAAAATATTCTCTATCTTGAAGTTTTCAAAACTCTATAATTTGAAGTTTGAAGGTGTTCTTCTCCAAAAACAAAACTTCAAACTTCCGAAATTATTTATATTTTACATTATGATCCTTATATTTGTCATAGTTAATGTAAATTCATAAAACATTTATAAACAACAAACACACACACACATATTAATTCATAAACTCTTACACTAAAATATAAAATTATAAATACAAATAAAAATAAATTATTAAATATTAACTACAAGCAGAAAACCACATATTTTTGTCTAATTTTAGTTTTAAATTTTTTAAAAATACTAAACTATAAGAAAATATTTTAAATTTTATTATTCATTTTTGTTTAGTTTTATGTCTAAAACTTAAATTTCTATAAAGTAAAAGTTAATTTGAAACATTTATGAGATATAAAAATTTTGAAGGGTTAAAACAATAAACAAGAAAATATTTATGTGTTAAAAATATTCACATAGACAAAATTTATTTTTATAGTACGTATTACGCACTTGAGGTTATTACGTGGGCTAGGCCCATTGGATATATCATACAGCCCAATAAAAATTGACCAAATGATGAAACTAGACACAACCAGTTCTTGTCTTAAAATGTAACTAGTCCAACTTTCTGTTTCTAGGTTTCTCCACCGATCAAGAGTTGTTTCATCTCATCTCCCAAGATGTCCTCCTCATGGAGAAAGTACGAGACCCGTAAGAGAGACCCAAACCCTAAAAACGTCGCACTTCTCGTCATCGATTTACAAAACTACTTCTCCTCCATGGCCAAGCCTATCCTCCACAACGCTCTCACCACCATCGACCTCTGCCGACGCGCCTCTATCCCCGTATTCTTCACGCGCCACGTCCACAAATCCCTTACTACTGACACAACCATGCTCGGTGAGTGGTGGAACGGTGACCTGATCCTCGACGGCACCCCTGACTCCGAGCTTATAGCTGAGATCGGTCGCCAAGTTAAAGGACAAGAAGAGGTCGTGGAGAAGAACACGTACAGTGGGTTTCACAACACGTGTCTCCAGGAGAAGCTGGTGGAGATTGGAGTTGAGGAAGTGATCGTGATTGGTGTGATGACGAATCTTTGCTGTGAGACGACGGCGCGTGAGGCGTTTGTTAGAGGGTTTAGAGTTTTCTTCTCGACGGATGCGACTGCTACGGTTAATGAGGAGCTTCACCATGCAACTCTCATGAATCTAGCTTATGGCTTTGCTTATTTCGTGGACTGCGATAGACTCAGGCGTGGGCTTTTACGTAATTAACCAATAGTACTATACCCTTTGTTAGATATTGTCTTGTAGATATGTTGTACTTGATGTCCAAAAGGTAGAAATTGTACTTTGATACTTTACGGTTTTCTTGAGAAACCAAAGTACTCTGCCTTAAATATATATATATAAAGAGTGTTTTAATTTTAAAAAATAATATATATATATAAAGAGTGTTTTAATTTAAAAAAAATAATATATATATATATATATATATATATATATATATATATATATATTCCAAACAGAG